ATTCTAGGAAGATGTAAACAAGGGTCAATTTTGGAGCTCCGCATTTTTCTCCGAAGTGACTAATGTTTAGGACCACCAGTTTGTTTTAGAAGGTGACGGATATATAGGACTGGAGGGAGTGCATCTTTGTCTATCTTACTCAAGCCATAATATAATGGAACCATTAAACACTAGGATTGCAATTTTGTTTCCCTTTTTTCTTAATGGAATGGTAGCCTGATTTTAAATTACTTCTCTATTTTCTTGATGTATAATGCATGAAGAGTAAGGCTTGAATGTTAGCATGAGGTTTAGTCCTCATTTTTCTCAACAATGCAATGGATAATGTTGCTAAAGTAATGTGAATAACCATAATCATGCGAAACTCGCTCATAAATTTTCATTCTATTGTCGAGTTTCATGTCTTGGTTTTTTTTTTTTTTGAAACCATTTTGTGCTCATAGTTCTTTCAGTTCTCCAATTTTTGCTTTGTATACTTGAATGTGAAAACTGTTTTACGCTTTTACTACCACCATGCTGCTTGGTTTTTCGGAGAAATTTTCTCTCATTAGCTCTCTATCTGTAGAACTTAATGTTTTTCTTTCAAAACTCCTGCAGTACTATGATCTCTTAAATATTTTTGAGCTTAATGGGCTTCCCTCAGAAGAGAATCCATACCTTTTTAATGGTGACTTTGTGGATAGAGGATCTTTTTCACTGGAAGTCATCCTCACTTTGTTTGCATTCAAGTGCATGTCTCCCTCAGGTGAATCCTTGCTAGACCTTCGTCACTATGTTTGTTTTGTTATTTTTTTGGATACTTTGTGCAGCTGGGCTTCATTAATGGCAGCATCTAGATGTGTGCTGTTTAAGTTGATTTTTTTGGGATATGTTTAATTATCTATTGCTGTTTGTATGATTGGATTCTCATAAATTTGTATGTGCTGGGTATCATATCTTATTTTCTTTTCATTTGACTTCCAGCCATATATCTAGCAAGAGGGAATCATGAGAGCAAGAGCATGAACAAGATATATGGTTTTGAGGGCGAGGTTCGCTCGAAGCTAAGCGACACATTTGTGGAACTATTTGCAGAAGTCTTCTGCTGTTTACCGTTGGCTCATGTGATCAATGATAAGGTATTTGTGGTTCATGGAGGTCTTTTTAGTGTTGATGGGGTGAAACTCTCTGACATCAGAGCAATAAACCGATTTTGCGAGCCTCCGGAAGAAGGTTAGATGCACCCTTTTGTTATTTTTGGTTTAGTTGTTCTTGACGTCACGTACCTTAAGCCTTGAACAAAAATATTCCTGTGCTTCATAGTTGCCTCCCCTTTTGTTTTCTCTGTTTTAATGGGAGTCTTATGAATCTGGGTTTCATATGAATAGGATTAATGTGTGAATTGCTATGGAGTGATCCACAACCTCTTCCTGGACGGGGCCCAAGCAAGCGTGGTGTCGGTCTTTCTTTTGGTCCAGATGTGACAAAAAGCTTTTTGCAGGAAAATAATTTAGGTATCTTTGCTACCAGTTTGATAATGCTCCTGCTCTTTAATCCGTGAATTAATGTATATTCTCTATCAATTTTCAGAGTTAGTTGTCAGATCTCATGAAGTAAAGGATGAGGGTTATGAGATTGAACATGATGGTAAACTCATAACTGTATTCTCTGCTCCAAATTACTGTGACCAGGTAATTAAATCCTCCATTTTCTGTAGCAATCTAATGCTTTCTAGTAGTTAAGTGATATAAAATTATAAATACTGCTTATTTGTTTTTTCTCGCTTGATGCTCTGTATATGAAGGCTTTTTTTTTTTTTGGGGCCTGGGGGCCGGTAGGGAAGGTTGGCTTGATTTTGTTTTCAATGGGATGGGCAATATAATGAACATATGGCATGCTTAACATGTGGAGATTTCCGTTTATATCTAATAGAATCAATTGCCCTCACTGAAGCATAGTTGGGTGTTTGTTGTTACCATCAGTAAAATGTTGATATTTCCATTCCATGCAGATGGGTAACAAAGGTGCATTTATTCGATTTGAAGCACCTGATTTGAAGCCAAACATTGTTACGTACTCAGCAGTGGTTAGTATCTTTTGTGCTTTCCATTTGTGCTGTTACTTTATGATTTTCCAGTTTGAAGCCACTTCTTTTGATGTGCTTCTGATTCCCAAACAACTTTCTTCAGTTCTCATGATCTTTATGTTTGTGGAATTTGCAGCCACACCCGGATGTGAAGCCAATGGCTTATGCAAACAACTTTCTTCGGATGTTCTCATAGTCTTGCATGGCTTTCTGGGGTTCATTCTGGTTAGTGACATCTCTGCAATCCAACAACTGCAAGATTCGGAACTCGGCCATAGAATAACCAGTACAAGTTGACAACTTTGTGATAATATATATACTTTTTTTTTTCTTTTGGGCTTAACGTTATTCAAATTCATTTTTTCCCCACAAGTTTCCCTCTGTATTTTGTCATTTTGGTTATTTGTGTGAACCATGTGCAGGGAAGTACGGAGTAAGGTTTATTAGCTTTATGAAACTCTTAATGTTGTTTTTTTCGTGAGCTTTGTTAATTGCTGTGCTTAGGTCGTTTTCTGTTGCTTCCTCTTCTAAGTTAAATGGAGCCGAAATCGCTCATTTTGTAATACCAACTGTTAAGCATCTTGAGCTGCTAATTTTTAAGATGCTTGTGTTGTTTTCTACTGCATCAAATAGAACTTGTTCCTATAGTGTATTAGAGCTTCTGATATTTAAAATGTTTAACTATTTCCTGAATTATGTTGATTTTTTCTTTCAATTGTAGGGATTGAATTCGAAACAGGTAAGTTGCAGAAAATACTCTTGTTGTAAACTTGCTTATTATGTTATGTTTGTTCAAAAGGGTCAAATATTTTTAAACTAAATAAATATATATAAATATGTAATGCTTTTGCGTTGAAAAAGATGGACTGGCCCTATCAAAATGTCAAGTGTCACTCAAGCTCTTCTGAATTTTAGAAAGTGAAATTGCCAATTGGCCTTTTGTTTTAGTTCCTGTTTTGATCTGACTCAGTGCAGGCTCTAACCAAACGAGTTTGCAGCACTGATGAACTTCCGTTAAGGAAATGAATTTTACAAAAAGTGATTAGTGTCTTGCTGCGCTTTGAATTTTTGAAGGGTTTGTTGTAGTACGTGATCCTAATTGAAGGATTAAAATATTAATCCATAAAATGAATTTAGTTAAAGGCATCAAATTTATTATAAAATTTAAGTGATTCTAAGTATGTTGCTAGTCTTAAATAAAAGTCACTTATATTTTCATGTATTAAGAAGTGTATTAAATTGACAAAATTTTTTAATTTTATTCTTGTTAAAGTTATCTATCTCTCGACATTTACAAATTATTTTCATATCTCAGCATTCTTTCTCTCTTTTTAATGGAAATTAAACAAGGACAAGATTAAAAAATAAATATTAAATATACTACCAGTGATTCGTGAAGGGTGGTATTATTTTCATTGATTAAATAACAATTTAATATCATATTAATTTTTACTCTCTTTCGTTACCCTTATTAAAATGGGCATAGGAGAAAAAATAATAAATATTTATTGAAAGGGTTAATACAAACTTTGATATTTTAAGTTTATTGTCATTTTAGTTTTGATTTTTTAAATTTAAAATCATAGGTTTTAGTCTCCGAAATTTATTTTCATTTAAAACATTGATTTATATAATTTAATAAAAATTTAAACTATTTTGTTTTTTGAGAGAGTAAAACTTATGGTTTAAAACCTGATAGATTAAAATTAAAATAAAAGACAAACTTGAAGGAACAAATATTATGTTAATCCTCACTGAAATTATGAAAACCTCGGCTAAAAAATTTCTTCTAGAAAAAGAGTTCTTACAATGCAGACAAGGAGTATGTTTTAGGAAAGTCATGATATAGAGTGGGTTGGAAGATCATGAATTATTTTACTTGGAAATTGCTTAAGGTTAGGAACTGCTTTTTTTATTCTCAAAACCGTTATTTCTTTTAAAACACTTAGAATGCCATTTCAATGTTTGATTTTGATTCAACTAAGGATTATTTGGCCCTCCAAAAATAAAGTTAGAAGAACTTTTTTAATATTAAGTGCTAAATTACATGTTAAAATTAAGCGCTTAAATTATATAACTCCATGTGAAACATCTGATTTGTTTTTGCATTGAATTTTTAATTATTTGATTAAAATATTTTTGTTCACGTTTTTTCCCCTGAAATCCCCGAGTGCTCAAGCCTCAACATGGGAGAAATTACCTTAGCTAAACAAGCCAAAAAAATCTTGCTTTTGTCAGTAGCCCTATAGCCTAATAGCAATTACATTCTTCTGTAACTGAGAAATTACGTGTACAACCTCACTTGTAATTTTAGATTGTTAATTCACAGCTGGTAAGGTCAGGCAAACAATTAAAAGTATTTGTCATATTTTTTAGGCTATGAGTTGCACTTTGGTAATTAAATCAACCTTCATTATATATATTTTTTGGATAATTTCCTTGTAATCAATATTTTTTTTGCTAGGTACATGTATCCTCTTATTAAAGCCAATTCTATTTAAAACACTGTCGGAGCACTAAATATGAATATTTGTTTTGCTAAAACATAAGTATCCTTCTATTAGAGATAATCTTATTCGAGGCACTGTAGGGCACTAAATGTGGACATCTCTCCTAGTGGGGATTTGAACCTTGGTTCTTTACGTTGTGAGGGACTAGCCCTTTTCACTAGACCTAATCCCTGTTGGTAAATATGAATATTTTTTTAAGCGAGAATTTGAATTTTGATTCATTACATTGTAAAGCACGGGCTCTGTAACTTACACCCGACCCTTTGTAATCAGTAATCTTTTATTTGTTTACAAGTTGGTCCAAGTTGGGCGGCTCGTAGCGGATCAACGTAATGTTCGGGCCCATTAAAAAAGAAAATCCCTATTTCTGCCGCACTTAAGATAATAATAAATAATAATTGTACTCTTTTGTTTGTTGCCCTCACTCTGCTAAGCTAAGCAACGACGCCGGAGGAGGTCGTATCGTGTTCGTCTCCTTTCACTGTAAGGACCCATCACCCCCTCCCTTCTTCTCCCTCACAATTCACTTCTCTTTTATCTTTTGTTTCGTTTCAAATTTTCGGAGTTAAAACGCATGTCAATTTACTTCGTCCGAGTCCTTGCCATGGCCATGCAGATTTCTTCTCTTTTTTCAATCTCTTCCGATGTTTCGATTCGCTTCTTGATCCCAGATACTAGTGGGGGCCAGCTGCTTCCCCTGCTTGCTCTCTTCTGGGTTTGTGTCCCTGAGAAATTGTTGGCAATGCTCAGCCAAGCCCTAGCTTGAAGGTTGTCAAATTGGATTATTTTAGGGTTTTTGTTTGGTTTAATAAATAATTCTGCAATGCAATGTAAATGCCATCGTGTTTTTGTTTCCTTAAAGCTGATTGAGGAAACCTCCTGGAAACGTGATGATTATTGAAGTACGTTGGTGGGGTCTGAGAAAGGCATGGGGTGCGAGGAGGAATTTGTTTTCTGAAGAGTTCTTGATCTTAAAAAAGAAGGAAAGAATGAAAGTTTGAAGGAAGCTGGTTTTGTTGAATCAAATAAGTGAATTAATGAACTTAATACTATCCGTATTGCCGTTGAATGAAAATTGAAAAGTGATCAATTGAAAGTAATTTTTAACTATTTCTTTTCTCATTGATTGATGTGTTTGCTTGTTTGCCGTTCATATGAAAGCCAACTATTTAAAATTTGGGCTTTTAATTAAAGACGTCTTCACAGCAATCAATTTTAATGTCTACTGTTGTCGAAAGAATTATTTTGGAGGGGGCACTAGAATCCGCTGTATGAATCCTTTGACGTCTTTGGTAATAATAGTAGATTGATTTTAACATTTGTTTATGTTGGTTTTAAGACGCGAGAACATAGACATATGATCAAGTAATGAAAATTATTTTTGTTCCCTATATTCATGCTTAATGCTACTTTGAAGTTGACTAGACGTTCATTTTTCTCAAGTATTACATTCGAACATTCTTTAGACCCCCCCTTTTAAGGTGGAATTCCTTTTCATCTTACATCAAATTGAGTTTGTGTTTATTCATTTATTCGAATATGTTACTCATAAGCTAATGACTTTTTGTAGGGATTTGATTTGTTATGTTGAATTTCGTTATATGTTCTTTGTTCCTTTTAATAGGATGCTTTTTCCTTTGTTATTTACTCCTCTCCTTCCTGTCAAGTTCTTTCTTTTATGTGTTAAGATAACCTAAATAATTGTAAGGTGCTCCTTCTTATTTTATGTTCGTTTTGGGTTTCTTTCATTAGTTATACTGATGGAAGTAGAAGTGGCGGACCTTTATGCGACTAATGCAGGACCAATTGATGGTTCAGTTTTATATGATCAAGATAAGCATGTATCTACGGCAGTTTGGGAAGGACAGGTGCAGTTTTCCCTTCTGGCAGTCCTTTTTTCTTCATCTTTGTTTGTCTTCGAAAAATCTCGTCACTGTCTTGATTTCTTATGCTATATTGTTGTCTTGTTAATGAATCAACAGGAGCGTGGTGCTCTCAGATGCCATGAACACACTTCAAAGCTTGATCAGTGGACACTTACTCATAAACAGATTGAATTGGTACAGAAGGCTGGTTTTGGGTACTTAAGATCAATTCCAGCCATTAGTCTCGATAACCCTCTTATCTCTGCCCTGGTTGAAAGGTGGAGAAGAGAAACAAATACTTTCCACCTAAATGTTGGAGAAATGACGGTAACCCTCAGAGATGTTGCTCTCTTACTAGGTCTGGCTATAGATGGGGACCCTGTAATAGGTATAACATATACTGCATGCAGTTCAGTCTGTGAAAAGTACCTTGGCAAAGCACCTGAATCTGGTTATACAAGTGGTGGAATGGTGAAGCTGAGTTGGTTGAAAGAGTTCTTTTCTCACTGTCCTGAAAATGCTTCAATGGAAGTAATAGAACAACATACTCGTGCCTATCTTCTTTATCTTGTAGGTAGTACCATATTTTCCACCACCACTGGGAACAAAGTCCCCGTAATGTACTTGCCGTTATTTGGGAATTTTGAGCAATGTGGAAGATATGCCTGGGGTGCAGCAGCATTAGCATTTTTATATAGAGCTCTGGGAAATGCCTCTCTGAAAACTCAAAGCACTATTAGTGGCTGTTTAACACTACTGCAGGTCAGTTAAATTTGCTCATATGATTTTTAAATATAATTTTTTTTAATGCTATCTTTTTAACGTTCTTCAAAATGCTTGTCTAACTAGTCTTTGTACTTCTGCAGTGCTGGAGTTACTTTTACCTGAATATTGGCCGGCCAAAGCTTAACCACGATCCTATGCGTGATCAATTTCCATTTGTGCTAAGATGGAAAGGAAAAAAAAGTGGTCCAACAGCAAATCGTGATGTAATTTTCTACCGGAAGGCTTTGGATTCCCTAAAACCAAGTGATGTAAGTCTTATATTTAATATTTATTTTAAACGAAATTTCTCTGTTTTTCTTTTCAATAGGATTAGATGAAAATCCATGCTCGTGTTAATTTCTTTTCTTTTTTTTAAAAATGATTTGATGATATGATTATGTTTCAAATTATAGGAGATTTGATTCTGTAGAGATTTTATAGCATCATTTTAATTTCACAGGAAAGGGGAAATTCAAACTAAGTATATAGGTATTGTTGTGATACAAAAAACCTTTGGAGTATCAAATCGATATCTTACCATTTTTAATGGACACAAAAAGAGGCTTATCTCCATTTCGTGATCTGGTTAGAGTCTCATATATTGTCAAGAGAGAATATTGTTTAGTGTAATTGATGCACAGGTGGAGTGGCTGCCATACAGAAGCATGGACAGTACGGTAATTCCAGAAGACATCAAAAGCACTTTAATTCTTGGGAGGTCAAAGACAATGTTGATATGTTTTGACAAGGCAGAGAGGCATCTTCCGAATCGATGCCTAAGGCAATATGGCATGCTTCAATCAATTCCAGAGCATGTGGAGCACTGGGAGAGGAAGAGTCGAGGAGTTGATGGTGGTGTCAATTTGTCAGGGAAAATGGAATCGGAGCTTAGTGAATGGATGGACCGGCATCTCCATATTGTCGAGGGTTATGATGAGGTAGATGAAAATGAGTACATACAATGGTATCTAAAAATTACTCGCAGATTTGTGGGAAGGCCTATTTCTCTCTCATCCGAGTTTCAAAGAACAGTGAGTATATATGTTTCACGAATTAGCATTTACATCTTATAGATATTATAGGTAAGTTGAAATGCTTTTTAAAGAACAAACCCAAATGTTTTCAGAATGCTGGTTTGAGGGATATCGCACATATAGCGGACACTTTTGCAACTGATGGGCTGGATGCAGATCAAATTGAATCAATTTCTAGAATAAGATTAATTGCACATGAATGTTTGAGAGACCAGTTTGGTAGTCCAGCCATAGTGCCAGCCACCCCACAAGTTGAGCTTGGAAAGAGGGTGAGAGGAAAGGAGAGGGTCAGAAGAAAAGGTTCTGGTAAACGATTGCGGAGAGATGAAGATGATGATGCAGTTCAGTATAATGCAGCTAGTGAGGATGAGCAACCCTCAGTTCTACGGTGCTGCTATGAAGATTGAAGAATTACAACTAAGTCAAGTCGACAGAGAAGCGGATCAATCACAAATCTATGCGTTAGATAATGAGGTCAATTCT